GTCGAAAATGAATGGTATAGAAAAAATTCGTTTAAAGCTCGAAGTCTGTCTGAAGAAAAAGAAACCACCCCGAGCACACATATTCCGTTACTTTCGTTACGAAAGTCGGAACAATAATTTTATAATTAAACAAACGCAGCAAATCCTTCACTTTGTTCACAGAAAGTTGGATTCATGCATATTTTGTTATATGGAGATTTTGAATTTAACAAAAAATTTTATTTTAAACTATTTTTGTTCCCAGTCGAAGAAAGTAATGGATCAGTTGCGCTCGGTGTGGTCTTTTTCTTCAGACAAATTGCGATTTGTTAACAAATCTTTTGTAACATACTTTTTGAAAGTGAATCTAAATTGTTTTGATGCCCTGGTCTTCAATTTGAAAATTTAACTTAGAAAATTTAATTCACAAATGATCGTTTTTGCAAAATTTTAGGGGAACGAAAATTGCCGCTGTAACTGATTTTGGACAATTGACGTTTGCTATTTTAGCGAGTAAGCTGCGAGCTGAACCGGTTAAAAAATCAAAGTAAGGTGAGGCAAGATGCATGGTTTTTAGATGTAAAATAGAACGGTTATTCCTCTACATACCGTGTGTGAGAATATTGGAACTTTTTTCACGAAAAAAAAAATTTGAAACAAATTTCAGATGTAAAATAAATTGTTATAATAAACAAGGATAACTGGTTGCACTGGAAGTACCAGGAAACGTTTTTCTACGTCGTGTGATATAACAACGTTACAAACGCGTAGAAATTTAAGGAAATAGGCATACTCGAATCGAGTGGTCTCTAGAAATAAATAAACAAAACAAGTTACAAAATTTTTTTAAAATTCTAGAGGAGCTAAATGAAGCTTCCAAAACTAGTTTTCTTGTTGATAAAATCATTTTTATAGCCTAAGTTTCTTATATAGCAAGTGTTACTTGGTCGCTTTACTCGCTGGAAAAATCAGTTTTGCTCGACACTTGGATTTTTTTGAACAATTTTTATTGTCGTTTGAATCACGACCAGCATGTCTTTGATATAATATATCACTCTCCGATGATTATTTGTGGTACCTGATTTTGCGTGGAAAAAAAACTAAAACACACCTGTATACAAAGTTCCTCCCGATTTTCAATAGTCAGAACAAAAATTTTCGTTTCTGCAATTCGCAGATGGTCTATGAAAGGCTTTGCAGCCCGTCAAGCATAGTCCATTTTTGTTTATTTCCCCACACTCCCTTCTGATGAAAAACAAAATTTCGCCCCTTTGAAAAAAGAAAGTTATTCAATGAACACTGAATGGGAAAAAAGAAAAATTTTATATTTTGGCGCTTGCACTACTTTTGTAAAGTTGCATTTGCAATTTTGTAAATTAGTTCTTTTTTGCAAAAAATGAAATCTTTCGCATGATTTTTGAATTTTATTCAAAAAGAAAATAATTTCGACCGAGAATTTTAATGAGACGCAATTGGTCTGAAAATGAAACACCCTTTCGGAAAACGCCCCCTGCTTCGTATTTCACTTAAATTAAAATCGCCGATAGGGACGAAAGTGACGTGAAGAGCCTCTCAAATTCCCTGGCGGTTTAAAAATCCGTTAAATTTTCCTGATAGTAATGAGAAAACTCGAATTCAATGACATAATTATCACATTTCAGGGGAAACGGGAATTACTATGGTAATTAATTGGACATCCACCCGATATCTTTTGAGCTAAGGGTCAGCAATGATTGATGAAGTTTTGTGGGTTTTTGTGGGTAATCTTTGTCTCGCATCTTTTGAAGAAGATACATAATCAATCAATAATAAGATTATTATTCTGATTACTATTGTAAGTAACAGTTTGATGTCTCACTGATTACTTTTCAGTTATAATCTGATCTCTCAATGAGGTTGAAAAGACACGCCTTTTAATTTGAAGCCAAGACTCAAGAGCCCTAGCTCAAGCCGCCTGTCAAGGTATCTTGAAGTAGGTTTAAAAATCAAAAAATGGTTTAAAAAATTTTGAAAGTTCAAGTTTGATAACTACAGAGTTCATATCATGAAAAAAAAGGTTCACCCGCGATCATGGCCGAATCTAGGATTTTCTCGAGAGGGGGATTGAAAAAAAATCTCGAAAACTTTGACAACCTTTGTTTTGGTCGACCAAATTAAAATTTGAGCTCTCCTAAATCACTATAAGGACCCTATTTTTACCAAATTTTCTGCCCCCCCCCCCCTCTTAAATCCGCTCAGCTACCGACCGCGATGATTTTTTGTAAAGTTATGGGACTTTAATTGCTGCCAATTTGGCCAACTTAGGAATTAACGCGCAATACTTTTCGTGATAATAAAACATAAGCGGTGCTTCAATCAGACTTAGCAATCGCTCAAAATTGAATCGAGGCATGCTTCTTGATTCAACAACAACTTTGCTATTATGCAAAAAACATCAATTTGTATTATATATAGCGTTTGTGGGGATGATTTTGGAAAAAAGCTTAAAATTTTCGTTCTTTTTTTTCATGAACTTTAGTCGGAACACTCAGGGCGTCACTTTGACACAAACAGTCTTGCTTCTCTTTCAGTATGCAAACCACTGACTGAATTCAGCAAAAAAAATCTTATCTAATTTTTGCAGTTTAGAACCAGCAGTGACAAAAATAGACATAAATTGATTATATACAGAAAAATCTACAGATTAACTAACCATAGAACCCATTTACTTACAGCCATTTCACAAACGATAACTGTTTCCTTACAAATTTGAAAACAAATGGTTTCTACTGCCAATATAATCGAGTTTTCTATTCTATAAAACCTGTATATAATCTTTGGATAATATGTATCAAGTCAGTATAATAAATTTTTACGAAAAAAGCTGTGCATAATCTGTAGCTAAAATTAGATAATCTGTATATAATATGTAAATAAAATGTATGATTTTGGTTATCTTGTCTGAATTTTGTAGGGATTGTAACAATATAAGTTTTGACCATCCAAAACTCAAATTATTAGTTTTGAGAAAAATCTTCCGCAGTGTTATAGTGAGCTGAGCTCACTCGAGCAGAGTTGTTTGCCGCAAACAACAAGTCTTAAGATTCCCGTAAAATTTTTCAAAACAAGCGTCCACGCGTTAAGAAAAGTATTTTTGTGCTGAATTGTTTCATCTATCTATTTTAAAAAAGAACTTTTTCCTCAGACCAAACATCAACATCAAACTGAAAAACCTTATAACCTGCGATCTATACTTAATTCAATGAACCCATCTGATGGGCAACAACTTTTAAAAAATCATTGCAAAATCTGTATTTTAAATGCATATAGTTTGTATAACCCTACATTGAATTTGTATATGGTCTATCTACTATATATTCTGTAAATAATCGTTTTTTAAATTGCTGATAGTCTGTATATAAAATAGAGATAATCTCTAAATAATCTATCTTTAATCTGCATAAAATATGCAAAAAAAAGTGAATACGGAAACTAACAATTTAAAAGCGTTCGGATTTTATTTATATACTGGTGATATACCGAATAAAATTTATGCGGAACAAAATGCATTATAATAGATAATTAAAACTATATAACTGAATTTAAACAAATTGAAGTTACAACAGATCTGAATTCTGTATGAGTTTTCGTAGATACAACAGATCTGAATTCTGTATGGGTTTTCGTAGATAAATGATTTTTATCTATTTTTGTCTGTGCGAAAAAGTTCTTCCTCTTTCTGCCCATCATGCAACTTTTTACAAGTAAAAGATTTGTTCACATTAATTAACAGTCTGATTATTTATTCCATGATTAAAGTTTTTTTTCATATGTAATTTTGTAAAACCTCTCGACTTGCCTTAAAACCGATGCTTGTGTCAGTTGGCGCGAACAAAAAACAGTTTTTTTAGATTACTTGTTTTATTCCCGCAAACCAATTTAGGTTAGGGGACATAAATTGCTGGTTTTTCAGAAATTATTTTCGAGGGCAACACAAAACGTTCTCATTAGTAAAAAAAATCAATCGGAAAAAAGCAAATTACAATTAATACTTAACACTATTATAGAGATGAATAAGCTATTTGGTATCAAAAAACTTCTCTAGCAATATATATTCAGCGCGCGTGTTTTGAAATGAAAGTTTTATGCGGGATCAAGTTTCAAAATTATTACATGCTTGGGGGGACATTCTACGGTAGGTCACTTAGAGGGGTAGGGGGGAGATATTGTATGGTTGATCCCTTTTTATCTGTATGCAGATTTTTACTGACCTCTTCCTTCTACAGTAACACGTTAACTGAGTCTATTAGCTTGCCTCAAATATTTTGCAACGCGTTCATAAAAATAAGTCGAAACAACCCGAGCACAAAGTTTTTGTCGGTTTTTCTGTCTAAGCATCAATGAAAAATTGAAAGGATGAATATGCTGAATTCTTTTAATATCCATACTTGAGAATGATTAAGGAAATAAAAAGTTTAGTACCTTTTGAAAACAAATTTTGAAAATTGATCAATAGTGAAGCTGTAATTTCCATGTTTTTTTTAGATTATTGCTGAAGTCGCATTATAACAAAAATGTTCTGGTCTTGTTCAAGTAGCAGACAATATTCTGTCCTAAGTCTCTGGCAACCAAAATAATAAAATAATTTTTTTTACTAAAATTTTTTTTCAATTTTTGAAATTTTTCTTCTTCTTTGATAATGGTGGAATGAAAAAAAATTTCTTGAGTAATTGTTTGAACAAGTAAAAAATTCAAGTCTGAAACACCTTTGTTTTCAAACCGTTGTTTTTCGACTGTGCAGAATTTTGTAGGAAATTTCTCTTTGCAGTATTATGTATAACTGAGAGACTTTCAAGCCTATTCTTATTTCGATGCCATCTGGTGTTTGTTTGTTCAACCTGATTTGACGTGAAAAACGCCGCGGAACAGCAATAGTACCATATCTTAGAAACAGAAATGGAGACCATGTGATCCCAGTGCCTCAAGAGATCGTTTGAAGAAACTTTGATAAACACGAAAGAAGAAGCCTTCCTTCAGCTTACCTGATCGTTTTCTAGATTCTTCTTAGCAAGCATTCGGCTTAGATTATCTTTGGCCGAGTCCAGTTTAACACAGATCTCTCGCACGGCAGCCAAGTCGCAGAGCACAGCCTCCTTGTCCGCATTGGAGGCTCTGAGTTTGTCCTCGAGATGGCTAATTTGACTGTTCTTCTGAGAGAGCATCGACTCCTGCTGCTCTGTCAGCTCACGGCTCTGAAAAACAAGGTTTCAATCAGCCAATCTAACACTTACAGATTTTTTGAGGGTTAAAATAGTTAGAGATAATTAATTTCTGTTCTGCTTCTTGGAATCTACTGAAGTCAACAAAATATTTTTTATTCAGTTTTTTGAATAATTCGTGTGTTATGGTCTTTTTCTTCTTCAATAAGTCGTCTCAACTTTGTCATAAGTTTTTAAAAAAATGTTTTTTTTTTTTGAAAACTAACTTGTTGCAGTTGCTGGTTCAACTCGTTGGAGTTCTCCTCCTCCCGCCGGATGAGGGCGTCTCTATTGATCAGGTCCAGTCTGAGGGACTGCAGCTCAGCCGTGAGTGCCTGTGCCTCCCCCTCCCACTTGGCACTCTCCCCCTCTTGTTTCCTCAACAGTTCCACCACACGCGACTTCTCCTGTTCCTAAATTACACTGAGTGATGCGATTGATTGGAAACATGAATAGGAAATATGAATTGAACTTATGAATAGCCATTTGTAACTGATTAATGCTCAAATTATGGCCATTTTAGCATGAATTTGTTGTTCTTGATTCCATCGAAACAATATTAAACACTGCTCTGAACGCAAAAGTTCGAAACGCAAAAGTTCTGAACAAATTCTTTTGACACAATCAACATTCTTAGGACACACTCTTCATACTATGGAAACAATGGTCTTCATAATCACGACTGAAAGGGTTTAAAAGGGTTGCGACTTCATGTGTTGTTTACTTATGGAACCTGGTTTCATGAGAAAAAAACCGGAATGCAAATAATTTCATCACTTTCACTGGTCCGAAGATTTGTTTTATACCGTGATTGAAACGATACATTGAGGGCAACGGAAGTCTCGCTCGCTTAGCAGTTCGACCCTAACGCAGGAGCGAGCCTAGGATCTAGGGGGAGGGGGATTTCAAAAACTTAAGATATTGTCAATTTGTTTTTAGGTCAACCCAATTGGTTTCAAAAGCTCTTCAAAACAGCATAAAGCACCCTGTTTTCACAAAATTTTGGACTTTTTGTAGGAAGAGTTGGGTACTTATCGCAAAAATATTCGACCATTTTTCCTGTTCCCAATTAGTGTTGTCGGTCTTACCAAGTGGTTGTTGGCGTCATGTTGTCGGGAGTTCTCCTCCTGGGAATGGTACAGTCTCTGTCTGTAGTTGTCTCTCTCTTCCTCGGTCGCCTGCAGCTGCTTCGCATAGTTCTAGAACATTCTCGAACATTCCCAACCAACTCAAATTGATCTGCACTTTCACCAACCAGAAATACTTTCTTACGTAATTTTTTGTATGTAACAGACAGATGATATATATGAAATACTAAGTGAATGTGTTCAGAGTCTGTCAATATTTTTTTTTTCAAACGGCATAACTATCGAGCATTTGTTAACATATCGTAAAGTCTTGATCCAAAACGTCAGTTCTTATAAAACTTATGTGAAAAATGTAGTTCATGTCAAATTATTGGAAACAATGGTTATAAGTATCTTATTCCGCCAGAACAGTATGAACTCTTTTTCTAAGATCATTTTGATAGTTTTTGAAAAATTGATTACCGGGCACTGAGCAATATTAGATTGATTAGTTTAGTTCAGATTTGTGGGCCGAAATGGATCAATTTAATATAAGCAACAATTTGATAAAAGCAACAATTTAATATAAGCAACAATTTGATAAAAGCAACAATTTGAGATAAGCAACAATTTGAGATAAGCAACAACTATTAGTTGAACGATTGTTTCCTTAAGTGCGTTCTCACCTGCGACTCGTGAGTAATTTCACTTAGATCCCCTTGCAATTTGCGTATCTCCTCGTTCTGCAGATCCCGACTGCTCTTCAGCTCCTGCACTTCATACAGTCTCCCTTCCAGTTGTCTCTCTAGAGATTTGATCTCCCGCTCGCGACTTCCTTTCTCGTCGCTCACATGTTTAAGAGTCACTTCAGTGTCGGCCAGAGTTCGCTCCAAGCCAGAAATGTGACGGTTCTGCAACACACACAAACATGCATGAAGTTAATTAATTATAATTTTTCTAGTAACTGATGTTTTTGATTGATGTTTTTAGTGCATGTTGAAAGTTTGACCAAATAAACAAGCGCTTCTCCGCTTTTTTCTAGTAAATATTGGAGTATGTTGCAGGTAACTAGAGTATAAATGCATATAAAACTAAACAGGATCGCCGAGCGGGCTATTCTAAGTTTACCAAAACTAAGAAGACCATTCCAGCGTAGGTTCGAGTTCTCCACGGGCCCATGTATTAGCATACTAAAAAAAGTTGTTTTCATCCTATTTGACCATTTTTTTACAGTTTTTTTTGTTCTAATTCGGTTCTGCCTTGATTAAGGCTGACCGTGAAAAAGAACAATTTATCTCAAGGACATTACCGGTTCTTGTGGCTAGCTTGCGCCGATTTATACCGTTTTCAGGGCAGGTTATTGGTATTTTTGCTGTGGTACATTCAAATGAAACAAATGATTTTTGGATTTTCGGAGAGTTTATTTACCGACAAATGCTCCCATTAATTCAATCATTTCAACCTTGATATTTTTAACCGATTTACGGAGATTGAGTGCATGTAAATTTTGGAATAATATACTATAAGTTTATATTAAGTATGTACTATTTAGTATTATATTGGAGTAAACTACAACATACTAAGGTGATCTTAAAAAAATTTGGAGATGCTCTTAGGCAAATTTGGATTCGTAAATTATCAAGCAGCAAAGATGGAACCATTTGGGCAGCCAGGGGGTCAAATTCCTGAGAGAGGGGGCGTAACCCCGTCCTCCCTAAATTTTAATCCAATTAAGAAATTCCTTTTCAATAAGGGAACAATTTGTCTAAACCTTACAAAAATTAATTTTGTTTTGAATCTTCAAAGATCATAAAAAAGCTCTCTCGTTTTGGATATCCATACTCCTTTAAACTCCTTGGATACCCATACTCCTTTAATGGAAAAATATTGCCATTATCATCCATTATTGTTGCAAATTTAGACAATGAAATCGAATTTATTGCCTAAAATGTATGCCTAAACGATTTGATTATTTCGTGAATATAAAAACCATTATAATTGAGATTATAGTTCTTTTAGAATCCATTAAAATTGATTATAATGGATTATCATCTCAATCATTATTTTTGCTAGAAATATAAACATTTCTGTATTTTCCAAAGCCTACTCCTTTTTACTACGCAAGTCTTAGGTTTGATTTTGGATAACCTGGGTAATTGTTGAACGCAAATACTCATGAGAATCTCATATCTATTAGGAACAAATTGGAATACTTACTTTTATCGTATGGGCAAAAAAAGTTTAGGGAATGTCAAACTAAAAGAATTCCGTGATCTATTCAAATTTTGGCAAACGACTAAAATACGGCTTCTACGACAGAAAGGGTTTGGCAAGTCTTGGTTTTGATTTTGGATAACCTGGGTAATTGTTGAACGCAAATCCTCATGAGAGTTATATCTATTAGAAAGAAATTCGAATTCTTACTTGTATCAAGTGAGCAAAATAACATGACTGTTAAAATTTAAAACCCTTTATAAATCATGCAAGAGCAAGATGCTTCCAAAATTTTGAATTCTTTGAGCTGAATTCTTGATATCTTACAAGTGCATTTCGCGTTCCCTCCACAGTTTTTACTGATGACGTTTTATATGCTTTTGGAGCAATTATCTGAAATTGCACCTTTGTCTTCTTCCTTGTATTCAATTTTGTTAAACCTAACAAACGGTTAAAAATTACACAAATAATTTACTTGAAGCTATATGCCCTAGCCGCAGATTTTGAAACGTTTTCTTAAAAATCTTGAATAAACATGAAACTAATAAAATTTCCAAAGTGACATTTGGCTTAATATTTGACAGAAACTTTGTAAATAATTCGTTTTTGTTGTTCTAAGTTATTACACTTTTCTTGCATAAAACCTTTAAAAAACTGATCATTTTAAGAAATTTTTTGTTTGAATTCCACCTGACCCGGGAAGTAAACTTGAGGTTCATTACGCCAAATTTTTACTTATAATAAAAATCATTTTAGGTTGAATTTTTTTTTTTTATATGAGAAACTCGAAGCATCATCTTTGTGTTTTTGCAACAAAACAACCAGTTTCTCTGTTTGTATTTTTGCTATTTTTGTTCGATATCCTTTTGCCCGCTCTCCTTTTCATCAAAAACCTGCTTTTTTTGGGCACCTTTGCGCATTCACTTTTCAAATTGTGCAATCTTGCTTTAAGCCTCTCATACATGACGGAGGTTCAAATCATGCAAAGCATTATTTTGACGTCATCGATAGGCAATTGCGAAAGTGGGAGCATAAATAAAAAGGAGGGGCATGAATAGACGACTGAGGAGTTTCTCGGTACTGAGAAATAATTATGAAAAATGAAAACGTTTTTTTTTGTTCAATGGTTTGGCGCGACTTCAAGTTTTATTTCCCCTCAAGAAAAGATAAGATCATTGTGATTTTTGAAAACAGTTTGAAATAATTGTGCTTCTAGTGGCTGTTTTAGATTTCCTTGTTCAAACATAAAAAATGGTTCAATGACGTACTAAGATTCGGTGATTTATCAAATATCATTACCGGAAAGTGGTCGAATAAATTGCTCTCAAATTCTCATTAGTTAGTTTTGAGATAAAAGTTGGCCTTCGACGTCATAAGAAAGCTGCCACTCCTTTTTAACGATTGCAAAAGGGACCAAACTGACCTGGATTGTTTCGGATTTGCACGGTTCTAGTACATCTAAATGTTTTACCTATACTAAGCGCTGCAAATGCTATGAATAAAGACATTGGTATTCGAGTAACTTTAGATGCCAGTTGTGTCATCTACACTGCTGTGTAAGAATCGGTCGGAGAATAGGTATAGATCGAAAATTATTTGATTGGATTAAAAATCATCACCCCTCGACAGGGGCAGATCTAGAATTTTCTCGAAGGCGGGGGGATTCAAAAATTTTTTGACAATTTTGTTTTCTTCTTTTAGGTAGACCAAATTGATTTTCCGAGCGCTCACAGATCACTATAAAGACCTTTTTTGGACAAATTTTCCGGGCCACGAGCGAGTTTTTGATTTAAAAAAAAACAGGTCAAAAAAGACGTTTTTAGGTCCCTTTTGGAAGGTTTGACCAAAGAAAAACAGCTTCTTTTGAGTGCTCTACACCCAAAATTAGTATATAAAGAAGACAAAGAGGCCTTTAAAAAATTTAGGGATGGTCAGCCAAAGATAGATGTCTTAATTTAGTACCAAAGGGGCCCTCGATAAAATCTTAGATCATTTTCTGATGTCAATCAATTACCTTTGACTCCAGTTCGTCAGTGAGACTTCTGATTTTGTTCAGCCTCACTTCGATTTCATCTTTCAATTGCTCTTTCTCAGCCGAGAGATGGTCGCACTGGGCTCTCATTTTGTCACTATAGTCCTTTTCCTTGTGCAGATCTACAATTAATCCCTGGATTTGTCGGTCTTGTTCAGCGCATTTCTCCTGGTACGAATTGGACTCGGAACTTCGTTTGTTCAGAGCTTCGGTTGTAGACGATAAGTTGCCCTCTGTTTTCTCCAGAAGGGATCTGAAACACTTCACATCGTTGCTTACCATCTTTTTCCTCCGATGAGCGCGCGAAGAATGTAGTTTTCAACATTAACTTTCAAAAAGTCCCAAAAAACATCATTTTTGTCATTTTCTGCGAAAATTTTCCGTAGCAATTTTTTTTGATGTTGCAGCAGAGCTCAAACTATCAAATTTGCTAACAAAACTCGAAAACGAATCGGAGAAACATACACCAAAACGTCGAAAATCTGCCCCCTTGAAAAAAAATTATCTCTTAAAGTAGAAAAATCAAATAAGAAACTGATAGTGGGCGAGCATTATTCTATCCCACCTTTATAGGTCGGTTAGAATTAGCCCATTGATGATCAAATCAGTACTCGTCTTATTCACAAGGCTTCAATTACACCCCAATTTTCTTATCGCAGTTCCGTGAAAGCTTATCCCAAAAAATTCGTGTCTTCCATTTTGGGTCTTGTTTCATTTTTCTTCCTCATTACTTGGTAAATTGATCCCAACTTCATTGAGATACGCTAATCTTATAACTTACGCCCAACTTTGTCCACGCTTAGTTAAATTTGTAGGCCTCGATTTTTAATACCATTTTAACAATACGCTTACACTAAAAAACGTTACCAAAAGTAACAAAAATTGGTTGAAACGAACCCTTCCAACCCACGCATTCCCCCTTTGATAGTATTTTACCTCATCCACTTTTCGCATGCGGTGCCAAAACTTCTGCCAAAAATCGACACTACTTTCTATACTTTTTTTGGAAAAACCAATATTATGTATGCTTATTGTTAGAAATTTTTTTTTCTAAAGTGCCCATCATTTGAAAAAATTAAATTATTTGGTACTTTGCATCAATGATTATTCGTGTTCTTTTGTGAATAATTTGAGGCTATTTTGAGGCCATCAATCCGGATTTTACCGAAATGTAGAGTGAATTAGCATGAAATTAGAGTTCCGCTTATTTAAATATTTCGCTGGTAATAAAGTGCTTTATAGCGTCAATTACAGATTCCTTTTCAAGGTTCCATTTTTAAGCTGTAAATGTTAATAAAAAATACCACAACCTTTTTATTTTTTGAGTTAGTTGTCTAATCTAAGCAAGCACCTGGTTTTGACATCGGAAAGATTGATACTTTGATCAAAGGACAATAAAGAAGATTCCCCGGACAGCTAAGAATCATTAAAATAGGCATCCATGAGAAACATATAATGAAAAATCATAAAAAATTCAAAGAAAAATTGCAGGATTGAATATTATCTCGCCTGAATAAATTAATCCGAAGTTTATTACCAGTTTTTTTCTACGAAAATGAGGAAATTGATCCTTGTTTTGTGAGTGCTGCAGAATAGACTTTCAAATAATTTTTCAAAAAAAAATATTTTGATATAAACTTTAAGTTGTTTATCTCGCCGAAAATCACGTATGATGACTGACAGATGGCTGATTTTACAAAATCATTCCTTTTGCGTAAAGAAAGCAACTGTAAACTGCCAATCTTGTATTGTTAAAAAAAGTTTCCACTCCTGAAAAGCACCAAGTCAACACAATGTAAAAAGACTGCTCGTATCGGGGCGATGCCTTGAGTATCTTGACTGCCCTTAAAAGAAAGGTTTGAAAAAATGATATAGATTTGAATGTTTCCAGTTTACATTTTATAAATTTATTCTCTTACGCGCTACGTATTTTATATATGTTATTTTTATATATTTAATTATTTATATAGATTTCATATGTTTTTTTTGCGTGTAGTAACATTTATAATGAGATTCAACTGCTTACTTATTTTCTTCAAAATGGAATGATTTAATTTGCCACTTAAAATTTGATGGGACGAAATATACTGCGCATTACTTATTTCATTTTGAATTATTGTTGTCAAAGTAGTCCTAAACTCTTACCCTCATTTTAATGAAATTGTATTATGCAAAGACGTATTTTTCATTTTCAAAAAATTTCGTTTTCATTTTTCAGGCTGAATAAAAAATTTCTATTTGAGAAATCTAAATTTTTCCGGAGAAATAAAACCAGCCCGTAGTCTTATAATCTACCCTTGACTTTCAAAGTCGGAACAAAAAAAAATGCACCTTGTAACTTATTGCTCCTTTTTTTTTACTGTTTAATGTATCTATAATTTGAAAAAACTGCTCGTCTACATGCGAAGCTCTGAATGTTTTGGCTGTAGTTTATCAGTTATTGAATATTTTTTTGATCTAAAACAAAAAGATCAAATTTAAAAAAAATTGGAACGTCAAAAAAAATTCAACTGCTTTCATGCAAATTGCATTGATTTTTATGCGCCAGCTTAAGTAGTCACTGACGCGTTAAAAGCACAAAATATACCGCAAGTTTATTATTTTAAGCTGGCCAATTTGGCATTTTCGAAAGCCTCATAACTTCATTAATCTGTTTTAAAAAACACCCGAGATCAAATACTCTGTCATTTTCTTGGAAAATTGAAACAAAAACTACATTATAGCCGGGAACACCTATGATTTTTTACAATAAAGATAAACAAGACTGCTCGTATCAGGGGGAAGCCTTGATTGTTCGGACAGCCTTTTAAGGTCTATTGAGATTGTTTTAAGGTCTATAGAGTTAAGGTCGAAATAACATCATGAAAAAATTAAATTGTAATAAAAATAAAAAGAAATTTCTTTTTAATTTGAGATTTATTTTGTAAAAATCATCCCCCAATAGGCCATATAAAGTACAAAGTGATAAATTTTGCTCGTAGTAACATATCAATTATAGCAAATAATCTTCCTTCAACCAATTTGGAACGACTTCTAAGGCTGGTTAAATCTCCGCTTACGCGTTAATAGCGCGAAATATATCGCGCGTTAATTGTTCCAAATTGGCCAAAATGGCAATCTTTAAACACCCATAACTTTACGAAAAATGGTCACAGGTGAAATATCTTTTCAAATTTAAGCTCAGGACAACAATAGCTTTTGAATGATATAAAAAAACTCCCGTCAAAAATGGCTAGTTAAAAAGTCGAAATTTGTCTGAAGAAAAAAAAACCACCCCGAGCACAAATATTCCGTTACTTTCGTTACGAAAGTCGGAAGGAAAAGTTAGTTTGCTAAGTAGCACATGATGTTGTAAACAGTCGAAAATGTTTTTACGCATTGATAACTCACTCGACCTGCTCAACTTGATAACCAACCGCTTTCCTTGAAACTATTATTGAAACAATGATTTTACCTTTTGCTTGGCATCAATAACTGAAGTGCATTTATAAAAATCTGATCTAAAGAGTAGTTACATTCTAACCTGAGCTGATTGACTTGGTACTGGTAGTCTTCGATATCTGCGTCAGCCACTTTCATTTTCTCAGCCCAAGAAGACACCTAAAATTAAAAGCAATCAAGGCAAACTTTTGTAGCCGCAACGTAGCTCAGACTCTTTTTTACACAAAAGAACCAAAAATGATCCCGAGCGCTTAAAGTTACGGTCTGCAAAATGGATGATCATGTATACCCTAATTTCATATCTTAACGGAGTATACCTTAAGCAATCCCTAATAGACCAAAATTAAATACAAAAGATTGCCTTTGGCAGTTTTTGGATTAGTTTGAGCAGTTGGAAGATTTTGCGAAGAGTGAGTTTTGAGCAGTTGAAAGTAGTTTAGAAGCAGCGTATTCTTGCCATAATTGCCCACAGTTAGAGCCAGTGCTGCAAAGTTGCCAAAACAAGACTATTTTGTCGAGGTCAAATTAACGGACCAAAAACAGCCAAGAATCACTAAAACTATAATTTAAACTCCACATAAATCAATCGGATGGAAGACACATACACCGGAAATTATGACGTTATTTGTTCACCTGATGTTCCAAGTCGTGTATGTGACTCCTGCTCTCGGCTACTCGCTGGAGGAGGTCGTCCCTCTCCTGTGAAACCGGGTCCAGTTCGTGTCTGAGATCTTCAATACCCTGCTCCAGATAAGCCTTGTCAGTTAGATGCGCCTGAAACAAATGAAAATCAAAGCGGCTCTTTTATTTCTTTGGCTCTTTGATCTCTTTGGCTAGAGGGGGGACGAAAGGCTAAAAGGAGGGGGAACACCTCTTCGGATGTATTCAAATTATCTCCCCTTTATTTCTTCATCGCCCCCTCATGATACCACTTAAAGATTATCCACCCCTACTCCTAGAAAGATATAATTCAACGCTTAAGGGTTTGCAATTTATTGTTACTAAAAATGCATCCCTCCCTTTTTGGAATAATTGAGTGGGGGAGGGGAGGTAGGGGAAGATAGCGAATTGAATTGAAACTCCAATTTAATTTCATTGGCCTCGCATTTGTTATATATTTGTTTTTATCGCGCACGATGACATTTATTTACGGTGATATCAAACCAGGTGGTGTCGATTTCAGCATGATTTTTTCATAGAAAAACTCTCTTTTCGATAAAGCCCAGACAAGATTTTACGCAGGGATAAACTTGTTCTAGCTATTTTTTCTATGTTAGTCACCCGCCTACAGTTCTTCAACTGGTTAGGGTCTATTGATTTTCTTAATTTGTTCAGCCTCGAAATGTAACAAGAAGTGTGATCTTATCGTGTTTCAAATCATATTTCTCCTTGTTCTTTTTATAGTGACGAAGACTAACGAAGGAAACATTTACATTTTCGCTTTCCGGAAAATTTATGTATTTTTAGGTTGACTGGTTCTGATTTCTTGCTGGTGAACTTAAATACTTATAACTTACGCCCACATTGTCTGCTCAGCTAGCCATATTTAAGTTTTAATTGCTTTCTAAGAAACTTAATGAGGTTTTTGGTCTTTGTGATAATTATATCGTCAGTTATTCCTCTCAATTACTTTATTGAGAATGGAAACAAGATAATAGAAACAAGACCATTCTTAGAAACTGATGAGCACCAAAGGCATGAAAAGAATCTTAAAAAACAAGTTTCAACTTACTGAGGTCGAAAAAAGTGCTGAACCGAATTCTCAGTCAAAACAAAAAGGGTGCATTGGTGATTTGAATTAGAATTTTGTAAGTTTTCTTTGCAGTTCAAAAGTTAAGTGATTGTAAGTTTTTCACTTTGAGGGTTACAAACGTTTTTTTGGAAAACTTTCATGACAGCATTTTTGCTTTTTAGAGACTTTCTTCTATCATGTAAAGTGAATACTCCTCAATATTCAATATTTAATCTGTGTTTGAGAGCTCATAATAGTTTCTTTGTGACATTTATGAATATTTTAGCGGATCTTGTTAACTATTCCCCCCCCCTCTATTACTATAAGGGGGGGGGGGCAAAGGGGGGGGGAGATACTAAACCGGGAACAAAATTCGTACATGCTTAACTGTTCAATTCTTTCTTTATGGGGGATATTCGTTACAAGGTACCATAGGGGGGGGGGGATAGTTAACAAGATCCATTTTTGCTTTCCAGGCCATGTTTGTCATAGAGCGGACAAACATTTTCAATGACCAGAGTTAAGCAGAGTTGTTAATAACTAAAACATGAAAGTAAATTGTAGGTTCAGGATGGGATCCAGGATTTTGCAGAGAGAGCAGAATTTTTAAACAAAATTCTGGAAACTTCTAATTTTTTTTTTAATTTAAAAATCTGGAAACTTCTAAATTTTAATTTAAATGAGTCGGCCGGCCAAAAATGTTATCAAGAATACAAAAGAGAGATTTTTGGCTGGAAGTGTGCAAACTCCTGAAGGGTAATGGGGGATTTTCAAGGGCTCATTGCTTATAAATCTTGATAGCCATTTTGTTTTTTTTTCCTCAGCTTGGTGACCCTTTGGTTGGCAAATGGGAAAGAAAAACCAAAGAGAATGGCTAAAGAAGGGGTGGGGTGCAAAGCATTAGCAACCATTTTCTGTTTTTCATTGGCAACCATTGGCAGCCATTTTCTGTTTTTGAACATAATTGGAGTACCCCTTGGTGAGTAATTGAGGTAGATATACCTCAATACTTAGTATACTTCAGTTCTAATAATTATAATAGTTATAACCAATTATTGATTATAATAAGTTATAATAATTACATTTGCAGCCACTTTTAGTTTTTCCCTCAGGGTGTCCCGCTCGTTGTTGGCTCTCCTCAAGTCATTGATGGCCTCATCTCTCTCTGCCTCCACCCTCCGCAGAATGGACTGGGCAGCCACTGTCTGTCTGCTGTTCTTACTACCCTTGGCCAACTCCCCACGCAGTCGCAACAACTCCTCGTTAGCCTGAAACAGAGTTACAAAAACAATTAAACATC